AGCACGAGCTCACCTTAAAATGCTTCTCCACCCGGGACAGACGCCTCAGCTCGGCTGCCAGCTCAAAGGCTGTGAGGATCGGGTCTTTGCTGGACAGAGAGATGTAAGCCTCACTGGCCAAACCACGGTACGCGTTCAGTCGGTACTTGGCGAGGCGGAGCTGGTCAAACTTCATCCGGTTACGACATTCCTGTTCACAACCAGAAGAGGTCAAATTTTTACATTTGATTACATTTTTATTGATCCCACCCAGAAGGACAACTTGGTTTACAATAGCAATCATACTGACATGCACACATAAATACGTAATTATAAATACATACATACATAAAATGCATACACATACATAAATACACAATATTCCACCAATACAGAACACTTTCAAAAGCATGCCTTAGCTGGTCGTCACTTACAGCGCTCTGGGTTTTTCTTTTTAGCAAGGGTTGTCGTGTTTTGCTCAAGGACACACCGTAGTGACCACCCATCTTATCCCCGTGTCATCTACATTTGCTTGTCTTTACTCTTGAGTCTAAACTCACTATTCACTTAGCCCCTGAAGCCCCAAAATGAAGACCACGATGTGAAAGCGACCACAGTTACAAGTTCGATATCATTTAATAATTATTATTGCTTTTTCAGGTGCAATATTAACACCGTTTTTAAAAAAGATGTAGTTGTTTAATTACACCTCCATCGACACAGTTTAGATAATTTAGTAGGCGACACAATTGTAATAGTTGAAACTCTCCAGACTTCCAAATAGAACAAACAAGCTGAGCCCTAGGTTAGACGTCCTTTTCAGGGAGGGAAAAATAGAAAAGCAATCAAAGGACAGTAGTATGTTTTGGAATTAAAATTTCCTTTACTTTTAAAAAGAAAAAGCGAAATTGATAGTTTTTGTTCCCTTATTGTCTTCAATTGTACTTGTGACATATTATACATTGGATACGTTTTGAACCAGTGCAGAGTACTTATTTAGATGTGAGAAATAATTAAACTCGAAGAAATAGTCGCGTTTTCCGTGCTATCTTGCTGTGTCACAAGGTTGCCAGATTGGCTACAGATTCAACACAAAATCGCATGACTTGCCAGTTTGTGTCATGTTTGATGGAATTACTCTAGACAGGCCTTGAGTGGGGAGAGCATTCAGGTCATCTCGTTACACGAGGACGAAAAAGCAAATTTGGAGAAAAAAAAATGGGGTAAGCAGCGGAGGTGGAACGAATGTGCGGGAATGATTTTTGGAAAGGGGGGGGGGGGGTGGCAATGATACATTTTTGGTGAGTAGACACAGAAACTGTTGATCATGAATGCATTGAAACTAATGATGGTTTCATGGTGATTACATAGATAACCATAGTTGTGAAGGAAAGCAAACAAGCATCTGTAGTGTAACGATTAGGCGCTTCGCAGTCGCACGCAGGAGACCCGAGTTCGATTCACGGGCGGGGGAGAATTTGTATCGAGTATCTCGGTCTTTCAGCGGGATACTGTATCCTTCCCAGCTCGGGTTGACCCTGACAGGTAGGGACGGAAGCCAGCCTCTTAAACAATCTAATTCGAGTCTATATGATATGTAAAAACAGCTATATTTATTTTTTTAAAGAATGAATTAAGAATTTAAGCTAGCTTTTCTTTAGGTGACATAGACTAACATTAAGCATTACTGCGATGTCCCTCACTTGATACCAAAATTCCACAGAGCCCCAATAACAGCACTGGATCACAGTCGTTCTTCTCATACAAACCGTGCGTTGCAACCGCCTTAAAATGTCATGCCCACCGGCTGCATAAACAAGTTTACCTGACATGCGCAACTGAACTTGTGCGGTTTCATGATGGTCTCTCCGCGAAGCAACAAGAGTTGTACAATCTCATACTGGTTCTTCTGCGAGGCGAGGATAAGGGGTGTGATATCAGGCGAGAACTGGGAGTCGGGGAACGTCGTCTTGTAAAACCCATCTGTAGACATAACAAAGGAAAATAGCATTGTCTCTGGCGTGTGTGAAAAACCAAACAAAGAAAGGGATATCGTTTTGTAGTAACATGTCCGTTTGTGTGGCTTCTTGGACTCTTTTTTATGGGTGAAATAAAGAAGTGAATTTTATCCAACAAAAAAGGAATCCTCGGAATGATAGCGCATATTATTATTTCATCATATTATCTTTCCAAGAACTGGACACTGACATTTTAAGAAAGAAAAATACACGATGCTGAAAGTTGAGCGTATTTCTCATAAACTATTTTCTGCCTAAGGAAATAAGCCCGAGGTTGCCCCCAGAAAGAATCATTTTATACGAACTTGATTTACATTTTTATCAATACTGTGGATCAGATTCACAGATAAGACATTTTCTTTCCGAAACATTAGCTATTGCTGAGGCGACATTATGTCTACCCGTAGGCTTAGAAAGTGATGATTAGGTGGCAATTTCCTCAGCAAGAAGTGTATCTTCTTATCACTTTACTGTCCTAAGTCTTCTCAAACTATTTAATATTAAGTGTATTAGATTTCCCAGATGTATTTTTCCTTGTTTCGCCAACGGTTTTCGTATGCTGCACTATTCCCCAGATCGTAGTTTTTTTCTCTTTTCTAAAACAATCTTTATACTTTTTCTAAATCAGCAATATTACATAAAATAATATAATCTTAAATCTTTTTCTGGAGATCGTACTTCTTTGATGTGTAGGCGACCAACACCACTATGAGAAAAAAACATGATAGAATATAGTATTGTACTTTACTGATTCTCAACCCCCAAGAAATGCACAGTGTGCTTCCACTGGTTTCTGGACTATATGCTATAGTGATGTGCAGACTGAACTTCTAATGGTGCCCATCGACTGAACGAGGGAAACGATGCAAAATCCTTTCTACACCACTGATCTTTGGGAAGACAAATGTCCCGCTATCAAATTCACTATTTCGCATCTAGCAAGGGGAAATACTTTAATTCCCCCCACTCCCCCACTTTCATCCACTTCTCTCCCTCCCCTTTGCTTGGCAATCAGAGTACTAAACTGAAGAAGTCATATCGTTAAAAATCGAATCACAACGCTGTTAAGCTCACTATTGACGTTGCACATATGATCTCAAAAATCATTTGCTCTGAAAACTGCCCCCTATAACAACTATCTTTTCACAGTTCTGGGCTTTCATCATCATCCAGTGCCAGGTCTGCGGCAGACATAGGCAGTCAGTGTTCTCCATTCACTCTTTTGCGCCGATGCTCTCGGCGTTAAGTACACGTAACAAGAAAAATGTCCTCAAAAGTTCCATTAAATGAGATCAAACATTTTAAAGGATAGCTTTCCTCTTTCTCATTCAGTACAAAATTGAAATTTATATTCTTTAGACATTAGAAACCATTAACCGTCTTCTTTTACTTATATTGAAAGCGTCTGCTCATGTTTGCACTGTGACTACGGTCCGAAACTACAAAAATCGCCTACTAAACATTCCACAGATAATTTAGAAAAACGTTTATTTCATCTTAGATGTAAAGATCTAGAGTAAATTAGTTGAAAATATAAGGTTAAAAATACAATAAATTTGAATTAAAAATGCAGCATAGAAAACTTTACCGTGGCAACCATTCTTTTTTCAAGTTTAAAGTAAAGAGTTTGAAGTGGCATACCTATTTTGTGTGACAAGTAACATTTCCTCAAACATACAAGATCACTGGCTGATACAGGGCATGGTAGAACACCCTATCCCCTCCTCCAATGCCCACCCTTGCCACAAAGCTCAGATATAACAAACCCTAGAATTAAGCAACCCTAAAGGTCGTTATATGCATGTGTGTGTTTACCGCTCTTAATTAACAGTATGTCAATTACATCGGGAAACAAGAAAATAATACTTTGGCCTTAATCCCCATTCTACCCTGAGGAGCAAAACCACAAAATACTTTTCCCTCTATCCTCTTCTCCTCCTCGACTCATTCCCCAGCCTACCTAGTCACTACCTTTTCCATAACTTCTATTGGTAACTAGGCTCATGTTTCTAGCTGGAGGCAGTTTAATACTTTATCTCAGATTGCAATTGCATGGTTGCTAACATGTTTTGCTAATGCTGTGGTCTTTGAAAGTCTTTGTTGAGATAAACATTCTCCAACAGAACATTTCAGGTATTTCAAAAGTAAAATCCGTCTGTGAACGTAGCAAAGCCTGCAAAAATATGTTTGATAATTTGAGGGCGCGGAAACTTCGAGCTTTCAGATGCTGGCTAGGGTCGATTTTTGTGTTTTCAATGTTGTAGAATAGTGTCCAAACTAGACGTCCTGCTAGAGAAAGTTTTCAGATTGCGCATTATTATAACAAGGTTACTTTGTGTACTTTTACGACCCCCTGTGACCTCCGAGCTCCCAAACCCCAAAATTTCAATGCCTGAACACTACTGAAAACGCCACCAGTAAGTGAGGCAGAGCCTCTTATTAACGCGCCCAACAGGGGTTTGCTGGTTTAAGTTACAGACCGCGCCAAGGACAAAAAATATGTTAATATCTGCTATCGTCTTGTTTTTAGTTGTTGTTTTTTTCCAGCAGTTCGACGTTGCTTCTTGAACGTTTCTGTTTTAAAACACGATGTCACTTGCCAATATGCCTGCCTAAGTTGTTTTGGTTCCAAGCCAGAGTTTCGTGTTTTTCTGCCATCATCCATTAGGTCTCCCCGTTCCTCTCTTACCTTTGGTACCAGAAGAATGTGTTTCTCGTGTGAATCATGGCCTTTGATATGCCCCCCAAAACTTCAATTTCATTATGTTCTGGAACTGTGATGGCGTTTCAATGCCTATTCTTCTAAGTACTGTATCATTGCTTATTTTCTGTCTCTTCTATATTCTAAGCGTTTAAAAAATCGATGTCAATAGTTGTAATCCTCTGTGCAGCGTGTTCATTGGCAGTCCATGCTTCACATCCGTATATTGCAGAGGGGAATAACATGGTGCTTCTCAAAATTCCTATATCTTTGCATAGGCTAAATAGCAACAACAAAAGAGGTTCCTTGTAACATGTACCTTGAAACTAAAGCTAACGCTTATCGTTTTACTCCTGGATCACAGGATTTCTGTAACATAGGTCAAGTGGCGACAGGCTAAAAATTGTGCTTGTTAGAATCTACACCACCAAAAGATAAAACCTCGAGTGACGTAAAAGTTGTGGGAGAGTATAAAATTGTCCTAGAAGCCAACTTATAACTTCCATTAAGGCCATAGAATATCTTGAGTTCAAGACGACGAAAACCAGCTACTAGGAAGGCTGTTGAACTTGTAAATTACATTTTCCCACTGGGTTTCAGACACGGTTGAAGCGGGATTCTCTTAGTGTTTTTGTGAAATAAATACTGAGCGAAACTATGGGGAAAACGGGAAGCTAATCGTTACTAAATTTTACATACTAATCACGTCATTGTTTTTTATAGTTCAGGTTAGGCATTACAAAAGCAGTTAAGGTCCTCATTTGAGAAGACAAGCATACTAAATCTGAAATAGAAATTACCCCCCCTGGCCCCCTTTTATTTATGTTGTAGTTCACTGCCGTAGGGTGCAAACCTAGCGAGCTCACGCTACTACTTTTGCTTTGTTATAGCTAGCTTAAAAGTCAATATAGAAGTGACAGGGGACATCTATCTCTGTACTTATTTCTCTTAGCAAGAAAATAATTTTACTGTGTCTGTTTCGGAACGGGGACAGAGAGAAGGAAAGTGCACCTCATTATCACATCAGCTGGCTGCTTATTAACCACTCCCATCTGCCCGACTAAGAAGTCAAAAGAGCTGCCTTTTTTACTCTAATGCGGTGTTCACACATACAGGACAAGAGTCGACCAGCAATTTCCGATAAGATAAAGCCAAATTCGGGTTTAATTGTGACAAGCATCTGGCCATGACTGTTGGCATTATTGTGTTGGCCAGCACTTGGGGAGACGCTCGCCGAGCATTAATTTAGGACGGCGAGCATCTCGCCGAGCGTCTTGCCGAGCAATTAGTTTGAATCCTGGCCGCTTGTAGAGCCAAGAAACGTAGCGGCCGAGTAAAATTTCACACGCCGACAGACTCGCCGTCGAGTTAGTTGGTGTGCAATATTGTAATATATGTATATTGT